TTTGTTTGTTTGTTTGTTTGTTTGTTTGTTTGTTTGTTTGTTTGTTTGTTTGTTTGTTTGTTTGTTTGTTTGTTTGCTTGTTTCTTTGTTTGTTTTTTTGTTTGTTTTTTTGTTTCTTTGTTTCTTTGTTTGTTTCTTTGTTTGTTTCTTTGTTTCTTTGTTTGTTTCTTTGTTTGTTTGTTTCTTTGTTTGTTTGCTTGTCTGTTTTCTTTTCAAGTCACACTAGAGCTGCGCAATGGCCTATTGGTGATGGTCTCGGAAACATCCCTGAGGATGATCCGGAGACAACATACATACGTCACCTCCCGTTTTACAGAAAGGACACCATCACACACCATCCATCAGCAGATCGTAATTTTGACCTTAACCAGAGCACGAACAATTTCCGTATTGATTTCTTATGGGAACTTGGAGGACTTTTTCCCGACAGATTTAACGTGGTCCAATAACCATTTTATACACGGGGACACTTCGGAAGAAGGGGTTCGAACTCACGACCTCTCGGACATGGACCCAACGCCCAACCTGCTATGCTATCCCGGCCTCTTTAAAATAAGTTAATAATAAACTGTCACGTAAGTGAGAGAATCTATGTTCCATATATGGTGCTAATTGGGTACTTGCAACTCCAGAAGAAGAAGTGAATATGTCTAACAATGTGATTTAAATCAGAATTAATTGCGTCGCTTACAGGAATCGAAAATTTCTGTAAGCAACGTTAGGTGTGTATGTCCAACCTGATTGGTTTCTGAATCGATAAATGCCAAGATTTACCTACGATGGTGTTACTTGCAGATATCCAGTTATGATTTTTTCTCTATCGGAATTTAATCGGAGTCAAATAGATTTTTAAAAAAACAGAATACATATTCTATCAACTTCAAAATAAAATCCTCGTGAATTCAAATTTAATCTTGATTTTAACATTTTGATTCTTCAACTCTATTGATGTTCATTTGTGAACCCAAATCACCTTTTTCGACTTCAAATGATGTTTAAAATCTAAACTGTTTAATAAAATTCATCAATTACACTGAATGAATTTCTATTAATGTTTAGAATTTTTTTTCACAGTGTGTTTTGGTGCAAAAGTATGAAATTTCTCCGATTACTTTAATATTTCATATAAATTCATATTATTATAAATATGTCATTCATATAAATATATATTTTATTCAATATAGAAAAAAAAGTAAGAACAACAAAATGGTGGGAAATTAAAATACTTAAATTATATTGTGATCTGCTTGACAGAATGTATTTTTATCTTCAATAACAATCAGCAGATATAAAAAAAGTCATTCAAATATTTTATAAAATTAAAATGAGCAAATGATTAAAAAAAATTTATAGATTCAAAATGTTTTTTTTAAGAAAACAGTGAATTTATTATTTAAATCTAGTAGTCAGTTTTTAACCACTACGAGGTGCTGAGAGTGTTGTCATAATTGGGAATAAAAAACTATATGAATTAGCACGTACAATAGAATAGTATTCTTAGTCTTATCTACTCTATACTCAAGCATTACAGTGGAAACTATCTATACATTTCTTTTTTGGCCTAAATAATTGTTTATTTATCTATGTTATGCTTCATTTCATAACACCGAATCAGCTATATATTAAAATATTTCTTCTTTTAATCATTTAATAAAATTTAATATGGTATGCTTAAGCATAATTTTTTAAAACTACATAATTTGAAATATTAGTATTTCCAACCCAATCCCTATGCTCAAAATACATATTTATTGTACTGTAAATCTGCAAATCTATTAAATTGGAGAATTATTCATTTATTCAAAATTAAGGTAATATTTTTAAGGTTACATTTTTAAATATTAACAATATTTATCAAACTAATCGAAATTCTTGGACATTTTTTTTTATAGTTACAGTTTTCTCCTAGATTTCATTGAAATGTGGTAACATTTCACAATACACTCTCTGCAATTGATTAACTATGCTTTCAAAATAATTCATAAATTTTATGCAGAATTTAGAGTTTAAAAACCTGTTACAGAAAAACAAGATATATCTAAAGAATTTGGGCAAATCTGATTATTTTAATTATTAAAATCTATATTATGCAAATTATATTGAAAATTTATCTATTTTATACAATAAATTTATGTGTTTCATATTAAAATTTTTCTGTACCGAATATTAAAAATGTATACATTCTGTGTTAAAAATGCATGCATTTTATTTTAAATATTTACATTTTTGTATTTGAAATAGTATATTCCCATTTTACACATAGACTTTTAAACAAATATAAACTCTTGTTAAAAATTTTTGAAATTTCAATAAAATTATGTATTATTTATTTACAATGGCTATGATAAAAAATAAAACAATTAATAAAGAATACCAATGAAAAAAAAATTATTTTTTTATATAGTATGTACTGAAAATTCTATTTCAACAAGCTTATTAGTTCGAATTTTTGTCATATAAAATTTCTTGTAAACTATCTGACGACTGTCAATATTGTATAATACTTTCTAGTATATAATAGGCAAAAACATTTTTAACTCCTCTTTATTTTAAAGATATCATCAGAAACATTTCCCTCCGTTATTTGAAAATGTTGCCAATAATTTTTATTCTTAGTAAAGGAATAATATAATTTTATTAGACAGTAACGAATTAGATAAAATGCATTGTAGGATCACACTAAGTTTGATTTAATTCATTGAGAGAAAATTCTTGTAAAAAAAACTTATTTGCATTGTAAAGGCATTTCTCATAAAATAGGGAAAAATAATTCAAAAACATTATACTAAAATAAAAACGGAACTTCTAGTAATAAACACCAAAATTTAGAGTACTGTTGAAGTTATTGATTTGATAATACTTCCGTTTGTTACGAAAACTGTTTATCGAAAATTTTGATTTTCTAAATTTTAGTTCTTTATTATAAACATATATGATTCATAACTTAAATCAGAAAACTTGTAATTATAAGCTGAATTTCCAATAAACGTTCAAACGATTTTTTCATGGTTGGTTTACTTTATAGATTATATTTCTATTCTGATTTATTTTCAGTGCTTTTGAATGTTTAATTTCTTTGAGGAGTAATAAAAGGCACCAACATCTAACTGCAAAACTTGGGATGTAAATATTGCAGAGTGTCACGAAACTTTAGAGCCTGTAACATTAATAGAGGACATCGCATTTTTCCATTTCAATTTGTTAACAGCAGCATTTCGGTCGTGAAATTAAAAACCTTAAATTTCAAATGGAAATTTATTATTCGAAACAAGAAAACGGCAAAAAAATACTTTATTCACTTTAATTTTTTATTAATAAATGTTTCAAAACAGTCTTTTGCTATTCAATCACCAATTAACGTAAACAAATACTGAATTCTAACCACTAGTTTTAGTTACTTCTAATTGATGGGTAATTAAATATTTGCCTTTATCTTTTTTTTTAAACATAATATTTGAGAAATCTTTTACACATGCAAAACTTACACTGAGAAAAAAAGTATAGTCAAAAAGCTACTAGAATATGGTAAAATTTACCGTGCTTTTGGCTCTATAGGAATATCAAAACAAGGAATAATTTTTACCGAAGCGCTTTGGTAATGATTTCGATAAAATTAGCAATAAGATTTGGTTTTATAATATGTGATAAAATTTTTAAAAAATGATAACAATTGGCAATTTTAACATGATATCTTAGAGCACGGCATAAAAACAATTTATTTGGTTAATACTTTTTAGTTTTGTATTTTTTACAAAATGTGTGGTAATAAAACTATAATTTTAAAAATCCAGAATTTACTGTAAGCCGCCACTATATGAACAAAAAAATTATCAAATGAATGGTTTAAATATCGTATATTTTGGTTTTATTAACAGAATTATGTTTTTTCTATCAGTAATGTTAATAACATTTAGAACGGTAATTGTACCAGAATTTTTCTCCCTGCCAAGTGTAACTGTTGACCCAAGTATTGTAACTATTAATTTTTCAAGTACGTAATATTTAAGTGGAGATATCCTGCAGAGCATGCCAATTGAGGAATTTTAACTATTTATAATAATTAAAATTTCAGAAAAATATATCAAATGTATTTTAAGATGATAAAATTTTAAGATGATGATTTAAGATGAAGGTAAATTTATCAGAAATGGGCAAAAAATATCAGTTGATTGAAAAAACTCGTGAATTGCATAAAAAAAAGTGCTTTTATTATATGCCCTTTGTATTTGCAGAAGAATATTACCAACAAATAATTGTGGGTAAATACTGTAAGCAATTTACTTTGCTCAAATCCAAACTACTTTCTTCCGCTTTTGGTCGGCAGAAAATGAATTTTTTTCCCATCGCATTCGCTTAGCAAACATTTCAAAATCTTAGAGCCTTAAAAAGATAAATTTTCTACAATCTTCTGAGTTTGCCGATTTATATTTTTATCAGATTATCCGACTTTCCTTCACATTATTAGAATTTGGAATTTCGCTCAAAAATGGTATCACAAAAGACCTTAGAAGACCTTAGAATGATTTAGACAGAAAAAAAACAGAAACTTCTTCTAAATCTGACAAATTATTATTGGTAATCGCGAAACGTTAACAATAATTTGTTTGCCAAACTAAGCCTTTAGTTGTTCAGGTATTTTTAATAATACCTTTTCCTTAAATGTCTCAAGTCTTAAAATCATTTAAGGTGACTTGTGGGTAAAGTAAAATATGTATTACAAATGTATTTCGCAACATTTATTTTGTTTTCACTTTTGAAACGAGCTTATGCCGGAAGAGCTTTATCAGTTGATTAAAGTGCATCTTATCTGCATTGAAAGTGAAATGTCTTATCTACTATCCAGTTTTTAATTCGAAACTTTTCCCTGTTCTAGTTTTATCTTGAAAAGATAAACTCGATGCCTCATTTTAATCAAAATAAATAAAAGGATATTACGTCGATGTACTTAATATTTACATATTGCTGATAGTCTTTTATCTCAGCGTCTTTTCTCAGACTTCGGCTCCATAAAAGGAAGAAGAAAAAACTTATGTTTTGGGGTGTGAATTAAATATTTTTTATTGGTCTGAAAATTTTAGTACTAAATCTATGTAATGACTTGAAAACAGTGCAGAAATCCATGTTCTAAATTACTCTACTAATATTAGATAGTGTTAATTACTTTATAATTTACATGTTGCGCACATTAATTTTACTTTTTTCATAATAAAAAAAACAGGAACTATGGCTTGCAATGTTGACTTAGAAAGGGAAAAGGAGCAAATGAAGAAAAACAAACAAGCATCATCCCAGCAGCAAGCAAGCAAGCAACAGTCTTATATATCATTTATATTTTTAAAACATTAAAATGTTTGCAAAGATGATATTAACCAATATCAAGAGTTTTATGTCCTGTAAAAAAGTTACTTAAAGTTCCACAAAGAATGAAGATTTTGTCAAATCAATGGGTTTGGTATACATGTCCGAACCCATTGATTAACGAACAACTCGATTACCTGAGTTCATTTGCCTTGTAGATTCATTTGCTTGATAACTTATTAGGCTGACAACTCATTTGCCCAACCACTCATTTGTCCAACCACTCATTTGTCCAACCACTCATTTGTCCAACCACTCATTTGTCCAACAGTGCGTTTGTTCGACAAACAAATTATGAAACTGATTGAAAACACTGCAAAAATGCGGATAATATTACGGTTAAAAATACTGGCATCCGGAGTGCAGTATCCGGAAAAAATTATTATTATTCAGAAATACTATTCTAACTGTAAAATTTATACCTTAATTTTTACTCTAAAAATTATTTAATTACAGTGATTTACCAATTTTACAATAAATATTACTGTAAAAATTGCAGTGTATCATTTTTTTTCTGCAACATTTTACAACAAAAGTGGATTTTACGGAAAAAGTAACGGTAGTCTGAGTGGTGGTACTTTTTACAGTAATTTGACCCATAATTTTTTTCAGTGTAAATATATTTCATCAAAGCAATCATTGCTTTATTAAAAATACAAATAATACAATTGTGTGATAAATGTAAATAAATATTACAAGCCATACAGTACACTTTCGGTATTATTTTCATGAACTCGGAGATTCCTCCTTATTTTGAGGAACTGAACTTTTTTGTTCAACACAATTTCAAAGATCTTTATCCCTCTTACTGTGTGTGTTATTCAACAGTTCATAAGACCGGCAAAAAAGAGCTACCGCGTTTAGTTAACATGCCATCTGTGAGTAGATACCAGTGAATCAAAAAAGAAAAACCATTTAAGCTTCAATCCTCAATTGCTATTTACTTTACCAATTAATTAGCAAAGGCTGTTTAATGCTTGAAAGTTAGCAAAGAGTCACTGCAGTGAGTTAAGCTATTTTTAAGTTTATACGAAGAAAATTAGATTAAGTTCCAATTATCTATTGCTATTTATAATATCAAGTGGATAGCAAAAGCTGTTTAATGCTTGAAAAAACTTTCATTTTTCAAATAAACATTAGCAGGAACTGTAAGGAAATACAGGAATTTTTATATTTATTGTAAAAATGTACTCAAAAGCTTGCATCACTGCTCTCTCAGCTAGCAAATTACTATGTTGAGATTTGATGCTTTGAAAGGCTTTTTATTTATTTTTTACAAGGAAATAAATAAAAGAAAGCAACACGAAATTTTCTTGAACATTCGTATTCAGTGAGTTTAATGTATTAAGCATTTCTTGATAATACTATTTTTGCCGAAAAAATAGTTAATAAATTAATGAGCATAGCCAAAGCATTTAGAAAAGAATACATAAACTATTTATGACTCCAAATGTCTCCATTTTTGTGTAAAGAAATGCCCGAATTTATACTTATAAAACTATATAACTTGTTTAAAAAAGAATACCATTTTTTTTAAACGGATCTCAAAATATCGTCTGATTTAAAATACCGTTCGGTGAAAATATACAGCACGTTCTAGAAGCAAAAGCAATACCTATTGCAAGTTGCAAATTACTATCTGATTATTTCGAACTTTGCTCGTAGCATTAATTAAGAAAAATTATTAAGCCCTTAATTAGTAAAATTTAAAATAATAAAAACTTTTTTTCTTAGTTAAGCAGTTTCAAGCTATATTTTAGTTGTCTTAATTCCTAAATCTAAGATTTCAAACCTACAACAGAATTAATTAAAGTTCAGGAATTTAGCTAATTTACTTCAAACTTCACCCCGCGCACGCGTTAATTTAATTTTTCAAACTTTTTACAGATTACTATTTATTAAAATTGCTTACCAGTTACCCCTAAAAAACGAAAATGGCAAGTGATGATTAAAATATAGAGAAAAAAATTCTGCGTAGATGTTAACGGCATTACATAACAAAAAAAAATTATGTATTTCTTATAATTAAAACGTTTTTTAATTCCTTGATAAACAGAACTAAACTATTTGTTAATTTGTTGAAAAAAATTACTAACCAAAATTATTAGTAAATTCCTTGTTAAGGAGTTAAAGCTTATTTTCAATACATTATTTTTCAGATGTTTGTATTTTTGGTAGATATTGCAGTCCTACGTCGAATCCCTCAGCTTTTACTTTCGATCGTAAGTAAAATTATTTATTTTTCTAAAACTTCAAGGAACTCATTTTCTACGACTTTACCAGTCCTTTGATAGAAATAATTATTATCCTGATAACAAGACGACTTTTGTTTTTTATTCAGTTCATCAAATGTAATGTTTTCAATCAAGTAATGCCTTGCCGTTTCAGTTTATAGGGATTATTTCTACAATTACTGGTTGTTTCAAGTCCTTAACAAAATTGTTTGCAATGTGTTTGATGTTTGCAGACCAATTTGAATTTAGTTTGAGTGAACAGCAGATTGACTCCGCAAATTCTGCCACTGGGTATATGTAGTCTAAAAAGATATATTAATGAAGATAATTATCCATTTGGCTGTGGTAGCCCAGTGGTTTGAAAATTGCACTCCAATCTGGAAGGTTCGATGCTGAACTCCAAAAGGACCCATTGAATACATGCGATGTACGTACTCGCAAAGTCTGTGAATGGAAAGTCTTGTCGTCAGTCGCAGTGCAGTACCATGGGTAAAGGGATCTGGAGAAAATTTCCTTCCCCTTCAGATCTATGTCTAAATTGAGGAAGTGGCCTCACGAATGATTGCTGCTGCCATCTATCCGTAGTGTTCTGAACTCAGACGAACTTAAACCCTTGTGGTGCTCTCTTGTCGAGCGAAAGGCGTACATCCAGGCTCGTCCAAGTGTCATTACAAACAACAGCATGCAATGTTTCGTAATAATCATTCTATACTTTTTGAATCATTGTAAAAAGTGAAGTAAAAAAGAGAGAAACTGAGATTTGAACATCTGAACGTTTAACAAATTGAACATTAAAATTCCACATATGAAAATTTCAGAACAAATGTTTGAATGTTTTTCTTTTTTCTGATTGTTTTGCCAGTATTAAACAATTTTAATTTCTTTTCTTAATTCCTTTGAATTTTCAGGTAAACCTCTCTGCGTAGTACTTGGATGGTGTCTTGCATCGTTGATAATAGGTAAGAACGATTCTTTAACTTCAATGGGTGCCTATTTGTTCAAATTTTTAGAAACATTTATTGAATGATCAATGTTTCTTTCACTCCGATTTTAATTAAATTAAACACGTTGTCAACAGGACAGACTTACAAATTTTTCTAAAATTTCTCAAAGGTTTTGAAAATGTAAAGAAAAACGTATTTATTTTTCCTTAATAGTATGGAACAAGTGATTGAAAATTTGTGAGAAGGACTTTAAGGTTTGAAAAGAAAATACTTGTATATTGTGTGCAAAAAATGTATTCAGTGATATGAAAAATGTTAGTATTATTATTTATTTGTGGGCAGAAAAAAATTACTCACTTTCGATAACGAAAATTGTTTAAAAAGCATGTCTTCTTATTTTTGGCTAGCTCTGTATATTTTTATAACTATAATTTAGTATCCATTCAAGAGTCTATAATACAAAAGATTCAACTGAAATTAAATTACGTCACACGGAGATTTTACGAGATATGTTTTCTTCGAGATAAGTGGTAACAGTGCCACCAAACACTTTAAGGACACTATTGAAGGATCAAAATGATTTGTTATAATATTTTTGCAAATAAAAGATGTGTTTCATAAAATTTTATACGAAAATTTCGTTTTCAAAAGAAGAAGAAAAAATTTTCTCAAAATTATGATTCGGTATTAACTACTTTTCCGAAAGGGAATTTTTAGGATTTCGAAATCTCTTTTAATAAAAGAGCAACTAGTGTTAATTTTTGAAAGAAAGTTGATGCTGTAATAAAGGTTAAGTTTATAAAGCATAATCTCAACATTCATACTGTAACTCATATAAATTTTGTCTTTATTTAGTATTTAGTCATTATTCNTTACCTCTTCTTTTAATTGTTGGTGGATTGTCGGGTTTTTTCCTGTATATCATGTTAATGTTAAATACAAAGCCATCTAAACATTGTATAAGCCCAATAAAAGCTCGATGCATTCTTGTCTACATTATCATGCACTCTGTTTTCTCATTGATCTGGATAATTTTAGGTAAGTTTCGTCTAGTATTTTTTTCCTCTATTGAGGTACATTTAAGAGCATTAATTTTAACTTTTGTAAGCGATATTTTTAATCGGGAACAAAGATTTTTTTGATCTGCACTCTTCTGGATCTATGACTGAAAACTCAAAAAGTAGTTATTACATTAAGCCAAAGTAATTACTGCTAAGCCTCGTAAGTAAATTTGGCATTATGCCAGCGCTGAACGTTAGGCAGAAAAGTTCCTCTCTTATTCTAACCGACGCATGCGCTGTATGCTTGTTGCTTATAATTTATAATTTCGAAACGTAAAGCAAATGGCGAATTATAAATTAACTTTATTGGTTAATGACTTTATTAGCTTTAAAATGATGAATAATTCAACATAACACATGAACTTTAACTTAAGAGAATTGTTAAAAAGAAATATCGAGTAGAAACAATATCGAGTAGAAATCTTCAAAAATGACAGCTAAAATCACTTTAGATTATAGCTTTCCTGCAAAACGCCATCGATGCCGTAAGTAAAATACACTGTAAAAAATTGCAGATTAAATTACGATATAAAGTACCGGCACTTTGTGTGCATCATCCGTGGACTCCATTTTTACTGTAAAATATTATGCAGTAATTTTTACAGAAATATTTATTTAATCAGAGTGATTTTACTGTAATTACTGCAAAGATTATGGTACATTATAT